ATTCTCAAACAGTACAAACCAAATAAACAATGCTCTTTCCACATCCTGTGCTATTTTTAACAGGACTTCATTCAACGCTGTTTCGAATTTAGGCTTTCTAATAGTTAGTTTATCTGTTCAGTGATAAGAAGGGATCAGGCTGCAGTTTTGCACCTGAAGATAATACATAAAAAATATATCTGGGGGCGTGTCCGGCAGCCGAAGAAGATGGCGGCTTAAACCCGGAGCTCCTCGTGGCGCCCGCACTAATCGCTCCACACAAGCCGTCCCAGCACACCCACACACCGCAGATGGGCCGCGCAAAGAGGCAGACAGACCCTGGCAGCACCCCTTGACCCCCGGGACACGGGGGAGATCAAACGATCCGGTCATACCTGCAGGCGGCGCCCCGGGCGCGGACACCGCAACGGGAGATGGAGGCCGCAAGCCAGATCATAGAATCACTCCCATCCACACCAGCCAGGTTCTCCCCAACACTGTCAGAGTCACAGCAGCAGCAGCAAGATGGTGAGTGGAGGGATATCATACCCAACCTACTTACCAAGTCAGATTTTGAGGCACTCTCAGACCGCCTTGGGCGGGTGGTACGCGAGGAGGTGGCCCAGCTGCGCGCCGACATGGCGAATGTGGAGGCCCGCATGGCGGTGGCAGAAACCGAGACCAGGGCACTGAGAACAGACTTAGAGCAAACTAACACAGCAGTTATGACCCAAGAGGCAGATATAGCATACCTCACCACGTGGGTTGACGATTTGGATAACCGCGGCCGCAGACTGAACCTGCGGGTCCGCGGGGTGAGAGAGGGGGGCCCCTCAGAGAACGTGCCAGAAGTGCTTCGGCAAATTTTCACCCACATACTGGGGGGCCAACAAGTACCCAGAATTGGCCTGGTCCGCGCACATAGGGCACTAAGACCCCTACCTGCGCCAGAAGAACAGCCCAGGGACATCATATGCTGCCTCGACAACTATCACCTTAAGGAAGAAATACTACGCACAGCCCGCCGCATGGGGGCCGTCCGCATGGAAGGCCAGACTATCTCCGTCTACCAAGATTTATCCAGATACACCCTGCAAGCCAGGAGAGCCCTGCGCCCGGTGACATCAGCCCTACAACAGGCAGGCATCCAATACCGCTGGGGCTATCCGTTCTTGCTCTCTGCAAGGCACGGACAAGACCAACTCATAGTCAGAAAGCCGGGAGACGTCCCGGGATTCCTACGTAGTCTAGGCCTCCCACCACAACAGGTCCCAGATTGGTTGGCAAGATCGTTCCTCCAACAAGTACCAGGACCTCAATTTCCACGCAGACCCAACGCAGGCCCGCAAAGACCACAGCAACAGCGGCAACGGGACCGGAACCCGGGCCCAGCAAGGAGGGAGCAATAACCAAGCTTCACGCAGCGAAGCCGGGGGACGGGGAAGGGGACTCAGGCACCAACGAAAAGCATGAACGAACCGTGAGTAACAACCGAAGGGGCACACCCATACACATCACACAGGTCGGCAAGCATTGGGGAGGGGACCGGGGACCAAAGGAATACAGGGGAGGGGGGGAGTCTTTATTTACTGCCACCTCTACCATGCAACACGGGTAACTGTACCCCAAGAGAACAAGCCCCAGGAGGGCCTCATTCCACCAAACATACCATGCATGGGGGGGAGCCAAGACATTTTGGGGAGGGGGATAGGGGGATTTGCAAAAACCGACAACGAAAGAGGCACACGGGCACACCAGCCGCCACCTTCGCAGACCCGCACCAGGAGGTGCAAATAAGAAAGACGCTTAAGACATTGCAAAATATTTTAATATATAATCTATGGACCCAAGGGGGGGGGGAGATGGAGAGATAGGAAAGCGGGGAGGGTAACAGAGGGGTAGGGGGAGGGAGACGAGACAGGAGCTACCAATGAGACAGGACCAAGAAGAGGTTTGGAGGCTGAGGGGAGGGGAGGGAGGAAGCGCGAGGACTGACAGGATACACGCAAGGGAGACAGGACGGTATAGGGGATGGGGGAGAGGGGGAAGGGGAGGATAGGAGAGGGGAGGGAGGGGGGAAAACACAAAAAATAAAAAAATAAAAACCAAAACAAAGGGGCAAGACGGCCGACCGAAACTCAGACGCAGCGACACAGGATATGCAACGGGAGCAGACACCCCTATTGGCAAACAGAGACGTGGCCAGACATCCACCCATAGAACTTAGGCCACATAACATATATGACCAGGTGACGGGTAACTGGGAAGGGAATGGCGAGCTGGGGGCCACATCAGGTCTCGCACACGGACATCTTATGTATCATTGCAATCTGATGTAAAGTTTTCAAGTGTGTTAGCTCTAGACAAAAAATAAAAAATAAAAAATAAAAAATGTTTTATCCCTGTACAACTGAATCGCACCACGGTATACTGTGGAGCACGGTAAATCCGGCTCCCAGCCTAACGTACCAAAACTTTGTCACAAATGCGATGACCCACAATAGAGCTAACATAGGACACAACACGTGTAAAGAGAGACAGGCACGACAGCGTATTCAGCACAGAGGTGTAGACGTCACAGCGAGAAGCACCATAGCAACCAAGCGGCCCGCGTGCGGCGTTGGATGCAACGCTAAACCCCCCCCTACTGCCCTCGATTAAATAAATAATGCCCAACAGGCGAGCGCACAGCGAAAGGTCCCTGCGCAGCTGACCCAGCCTAGACCGACCTTACTCTAAACGGCTCACGAGACACCACCCCACCGGACACCACGCGCTCACGGCAATGTGAATCACACACGGAGTAGACGCAAGATAGCGACAACGGCGACATGTACACAGCCCAGCACACCACACGCCCATGGCCTCAAACCCCATACAGAACGAAACACAAAGCGGACTGAGCTTCAGCCACACAGCCACCTAAGAGACGAAGGACCAAAATCCACAAACAGTAAGACCTAGTTCTCAAGACACGAGACGAACCAGTCCATCACGGACAAGTTGCCCGACCCCCCCAAAGGTATAGGACACAGAAACCCCCGATATATAGGGGGCGTACAACTCCCGGAAACGACCAGTGCCCACCAGTCGGTTAGGCACACTGGTCAACTCACCAGGACACTTGTCCACTACTGGACAGACCACAGAAACCCAACAGATAAAGCGGACCCACGAAGGGCCCACCCACACCCCAGTCAAACCTAGAACACCATCACAAACATCACAAACCACATACGTGCATACCACAGACACACCTACACCACCTCCTCCCCCTCCCTGCTGTCCGTCCGTCCCCTGCGGCCGCCCGGATGATGCCGGCCCCGGTCCCCAGCGTGTTCACCAGGGAGGACTTAAATATAATCTCCTACAATGTAAAGGGCCTCAATGTTAGAGAAAAACGCACAAGACTCCTGAGGGACCTGAAACAATACAGGACGTCGATAGCGTTCATCCAAGAAACGCACTTTCAGGAGAACAGGGCCCCGGCACTGAAGGACCGAAACTTTCGAACGGGGTACTTCAGTAACAACCCAGATAGACGAACGCAGGGAGTATGCATACTATTCTCCAGCAGAATCCCGTACATAGAACAAGCCACCCTTAGATGCAAACAAGGCAGATATATTTTCACTAAAGGCACTATCTCAGATCAAACCTACACATTCGCCAACATCTATGCCCCAAACACGAAACAATACCACTTCCTCCGGAGCACTGTGGCTTCCCTGATGAAGTTTACGGAAGGCACCCTGATCATCGGAGGAGACCTAAACCTGGCACTACACCCGGATCAGGACGACACGTCCCCACAAGGAGCAACACCGCAAAACAGACATGCGAAAACACTCCGCCTCCTACACCAACACCAGCTGGCAGACTGCTGGCGAGCATTGCATCCAACCGCCAGGGACTTCACCTTCTACTCATCGGCACACTTAACATACACAAGACTGGATTATTTTCTAATGACACACCATAATCTGAACCTACTAAACGCCGCGGAGATCCTGCCAATGACCTGGTCGGACCACTGCCCGATTCGAATGCGGCTGAAATCGCCGCTATACAGGCCCCGGCAGATGTCATGGAGACTAAACGAATCGATCCTCTCGGACGTGGTAGTGACAGATAAGATTAGTAACTCCATACGAGAATACTTCCAAACCAATGAGACAGAAGACGTAACGCCACTAATATGCTGGGAAGCACACAAGACGGTAATCAGAGGCCAGATCATCGCGCTATGCGCAACCCGCAAGAAAGCAGCAATGCAGGAAACGCTCGAGCTTAACAGAGACATCGCAACCCTGGAGACCAGACACAAACGGACCTTGGACGCAACGACATACCAGGAACTCACGGCCAAACGAAACCAACTCACCGCACATCTCAATCGAGCAATTCAACGTTCATACCAGCACTACAGACACATGATACATGAACACGGGGATAAATGCGGAAGGCTGCTGGGAAACCTTCTGAAACAACGTAAAACCCAACTGTACATCCCAAAGATCAAAGACACGCAGCAACGACTTAAGCACCTCCCGGACCAGATTGCGACAGAATTCCGCACATATTACCAAGGCCTATACCACCTCAGACAAGATGAACCAGGAGAATCGCAATCGAGCAAACTCGCTGACGTACGCAGATACATAGGCTCGGCGCATATGCCAGAAATATCAGAGACGGACCGAGAAGCACTAGAAGCCCCCATCACGCCGGAAGAATTGGCGTATGCCATCAAGAAGGCAAAAACGGGCAAGGCACCAGGGCCAGATGGGCTACCCCTTCAATACTACAAAGTTTTTACACAAGAGGTCGTGCCGCACCTACTGAAAGCCCTGAACTCCATACAAGAGGGAGCCACACCAACCGCGCAATTTACCTCGGCAAATATCACCCTACTCCCAAAGGAAGGAAAAGACCCAACACTATGCTCAAGCTACCGCCCAATATCAGTACTGAACACCGACATCAAGCTGCTGGCCAGCATACTGGCACTACGACTAGCACCATTGCTACCGGCCACAATACATCCGGATCAAACAGGATTCATCCCAGGCAGGGAGGTAAGGGACAACACTATCAGAGCCCTGAACATCATAGCGCACGTCAGAACCCAACAGAACCAAACCCTTCTCTTATCTACAGATGCGGAGAAGGCATTTGACCGGGTGGACTGGGACATGATGATGGAAACCCTCCACACCGTGGGAGTGGGACCGAGATACGGCATATGGGTGAGGGCGCTATACACAGACCCGACGGCACGAATCAGGATCAACGGTGCACTAACGGACCCATTGCAGATACACAACGGGACTAGACAAGGCTGTCCACTATCACCACTATTATTTGCACTGACGCTGGAGCCGTTCCTCAACAGGATCAGGCACAATGACGCCGTCCAGGGGCTTACCATCGGAAACACACATCACAAAACGCTAGCATACGCAGATGATATGCTGTTCGTGGTCACGAACCCAGAAATGTCCCTACCAGCGATACAGACAGAATTTGAGGAATACGGACGAATCTCAAACCTACAAATTAATTATTCAAAATCAGAGATACTGAATTTGACCGTCAAACACACGGACAGACACACACTGCAGAGACGCTACCCATACCGTTGGTGCGACCAACGCATGCGATACCTGGGGGTATGGCTTACACCCAATCCAGCGGACCTGTACACCCAAAACTACCTCCCCATTTTGAAAAAAGTGACGGAGGAACTGCGTAGATGGAGCCCATACTACATCTCATGGCTAGGGAGGATAAATGCGGTCAAGATGACACTGCTACCCAAACTGCTCTTCGTGTTTCAAACTACCGATACAAGCCCCACAAACATTCTTCAAGACATTGAAGGCAGAGGTCCGCACGTTTATATGGAAGGGCAGACCCCCGCGCATAGCATACACCCAGCTCATTTTACCCAAACTCCGAGGAGGTCTAGCGCTTCCCGACTTCGAACGCTACTATCACGCAGCACATCTTACACGAGTCATAAGCTGGACGGTAGCCAGTGGCACAAAACCATGGACCCAACTGGAATCCGACACCACCAACTGCGACCTCCGGACACTGCCTTGGATATCCGCGGCGGCGTACAGGCGCAAACGCATCACAAACCCCTTTTTGGCGGCAACCATGCGGATCTGGCACAGGCAGGGCACAAAACACTACCTGACGACGGATCCAGGCCCGCTGCTGCCACTAAGGGGCAACCCGGACTTCCCAGCAGGCGACCTTGGCCCCACACCAGGCCCAGCAGGACACCCAACAATTCCTCGCATGACAGACGTCCTGGTACGCCCGTTCGACATACGGCCGTTAACAGAACTCTTCCCGGACAGACCACACACTTTCTCACACACACTAGCGAGAGCGCAAATCTCCCAATATGCTCGATCCATCCCGCAAAAACCATCCCTACTTAGGGAAACTACCCAATTTGAGAACCTGTGCACACAGACCACGGAAACACCCAGAGCTATCTCACAGATATACACGATATTGATCACTTGTAGGTATTTATTGGCACCGCCCTGCATAAGAAACTGGGAAGAAGACCTAGATGAGACCATGTCGGAAACAGACTGGGACAAATGCATCACTCTCATACAAAAAACCCCCAGCTCTGCACGCCTGCAAGAAAACTCATACAAGATATTCACCAGATGGTATCTGACGCCGACAGCACTCCACGTCAGAAACCCAGATATACCAGACACATGCTGGAGATGCGGAGAGGAAACAGGCACGTTTATACATATCTGGTGGGCATGTGCACGAATCCGGCCCTTCTGGGACACAATTAGGGATATAATACACGAAGTAACGGACGAGACACTCCCGGGGTCCCCGGCCGCCTTTCTCCTCCACCACACCAACATGACCGCGCAGCCATACACCAGATCAGTGATACCGCGGTTGCTGAACGCAGCCAAAACAGTCATCCCCATCTACTGGAAGCAGGCGAACACACCCCCGATAACACGATGGCTAGAGGAAGTGGAAACCACTAGGAAATTTGAAGACCTAATGGCAAACACTCCGAAACTTCGAGACCGATATACCACACGCTGGTTCCACTGGATACGATTAACCGCATCAAACGACTTTCAACGCCGCCTGGCCACACGGTAACCAAGAATGATGAGACGGAGGGGGCTAAGGATGGGGTCGGGGCGGGAGGCAGAGAAGGGGGGCGGACAACGGCGGCGGTAGGGGACGGACACACGCATCCCCCCAACACCCTCTCCCCCCCCCCATGTCAATCACCAGTTAAACCCAGAAACATACCTCGACAGACAGACACAGTAGCAAAATGAAACCTAAAGGCCTTACCAAGACACCCCCTCATAGCGAGACTGACCGACAACAACACCAGAATGAAGCGACCCTACCTAGAGCCACGAGACACTCAACCCTCAACAGACCCATGGACAGTCAAGACGCAGTGGGGGACAACACCGCAGACAACACAGAAAGGAAAAACACACATAGGAGACACGGAACCAAGAATAGGCCACGCCACGGACACACACCCAACCGAAGCCCTTAAAACCAGACATAAAGGGGACGACCCATTAGAACACGAACGGAGACAAACGCAGGGCACACCTAGACACACACGACCAGGAAACACCAAACTGCATAAAGCAACAGATACCCAGACACACAGGGAGCAAACAAGCACAGGCACCAGAACAAATAGAATAAGATTAGGCAGAAACACTCACAACAATGTACGCAGGCGCAGCGGTAATATAGCAACACTGCAAGCCATACAGATGTAAAATGCGAGTAACAAACTGTGAATATTTCTGCGGTATGGTACACGCAAGGACCATCCAGCCTCAATGTAAGGCGACGGAATGCCATCAAATGTATGAAATGCAACCTGACGCCCCTGCGTGGGCAACCTCTGCCCCACCACTCACGAAGATGCTACCCACACGGGTGCTATGACAGCACTACAAATACTCAAAATAATCCCACAAACACATAGAAACTACACGAACCAGTCAACGCAAGATAATTACACGAACATACCCCACCACTTCCTTCAGCGTATCAATACACCAAGATGCATGTTAGCAGGCCATGAGCCACTAATCGACACTAACACAGCTATACACATATGCCAATAACACTAACACACGGCAACACCAAACCTGTTAAACGAAAATGAAAAATCTAATCCTGCAGAACATAAGTACCCCCACATTCTGTCAGGACATGGCTACTTTGAATTATTCATGCACCGAAAACAACGCCTCTGCGAAGGCGGTTAACCACTTAACCACATATACGTTTGCAATGGAATTTATGTTATGAACCAATCAACATATTCAAAACAAAGGCAATACCAAAACCGCCTCTGCGTAGGCGACACAATGCTTACATTATTATATGTTGACGCTTAAGCCCCTGCGTGGGCATATACCTGCTTTATCACAAATCAGTTTGACATATGCGATTATATTGTGAAAACAATAAAAATATTCAAAACAAATATAATCATATGACTCGCATGGGAAGTTCAGTGGGACTCTTAGTAGGATATCCCTGTCCTTTCTGTGGTTCTCTATCAGGTACTTCCAAGTGGTGTTTGAAGAGAATGATCCTGACAGCTCTTTGGTCAAATTGATGCACTTTAATTAGTTAAATTAAATAAAACCAAATATATAGGAATTTCCAATAAAATGGATAAAAGTCTATGGCTAGTGCCAGTAAGTGTCTGAAACATGTTTAGCCCTTTAACTAGGGCTTCTTCAGTGGGTATAAAACCTTCCCAGTTTGTTACTTTCTTTAAATACCCAGCTAAATCTTAATTTTCAGGTATAACTTCCTGGTTCTTGGAACGCATTATGCGTTACACACTCCCACTCACTATACAATGAAACAATAAACTGTAAAAGGAACACATACATTGTACAATTAATGTTACAATCCCAAAAAATTAATACTGGATTCTTTTTTTTCTATTGAAAGGGACAACTTTAGCTTAATGAAGCAGTTTTGGTGTATAGAACATGCCCCTGCAGCCTCACTGCTCAATTCTCTGCCATTTAGGAGTTAAATCACTTTTTTATGAACCATAGTCACACCTCCCTGCATGTGACTTGTATAGCCTTCTTAAATACTTCCTGTAAAGAGTCATCTAAAGTTTATCCTTTCTTTATTGCAAGTTATGTTTAATTTAGATTTCCTTATCCCCTGCTATCTTAATAGCTTGCTCCTCCTGTATGTGATTAAAGCAAGAGATGAAATTGTTTAAGGTAAATTGCATCTGATTGAAAGTGAAACCAGTTTTTTTCATGCAGGCTGTGTCAATCAGAGCCAGGGGAGGTGTGACAAGGGCTGCATAAACAGAAACAAGGTGATATAACTCCTAAATGGCAGTGAATTGAGCCTTAAAACCCGAGAGGCATGCTCTATACACTAAAACTGCTTCATGAAGCTAAAGTTGTTTAGGTGACTCTAGTGTTCCTTTAATTTGCCATTTCTGTATTCACATAGATGGTCATATAGTACTTCTGATTGCTGAAACCTACAGATATCATTGGCATTGTATAATTCCAATATATTTCCATTTGGGAATTATACCAAGAATACTTATGAGAACCAGATTATGAGCACTAGTGGATTATTCTAGATCTGCAAAGCTACTGAAGACCATAATACTAGCACACTAGCACCATGATTAAATAATCCAAGGTTGATCCATGGTTCTAGGTTATTAATTAAATTGAGAATTCAACGTGAATTATAAACTTAAAGCCAAAACAACAAAACTGGAAAAAATATCTAAATTGGTCTAAAATGTGAAAATCATTTTGAATCTACTGTGAATTCTCACTTTATTTAAAAACTCTGCAAAAGTTAAATGATTAGCACTAGTTTGTTATTTAAGATTCTCAAATTTACAGGGAGCCAGAAGATTAGTAGACAAAACTGTATTATCCAAGATATTCAAGGTTGAAGCAAAAAATAAATAAAAAAAGAATGGAAAATCAGCACCAGAAAATATTTAGAGATTGTGCAAGTTGCAGGAACGCTGAAGAAAAATAGCATTAGGAAATGATCCTAGATCCTTGAAGTTGCAGAGGACATTATCTAAATTGCAGTCGAAACAAATGAAATTAACAAAGCCACGGACCTAACTGGTGATAGGATCCTCCTGAGTTAATTTCCCTAATTTATGTTGATTAAGAAGAGTTTCAATGATGATTCAGAGCTATTTAACAATGAGCAATAACTGAAAGCCTGAGTTATTACTTGACATGGAAACAGTACATGGCCACCTTGAAAATTACATTTGATCTATTTTGGCCTGAAGTTTGCAATTCCCTTTTCAAGTTTCTTGCCCGTTCTCCACAATTCCTATTTTAGGGTATAGCTGCTTTATATCTTTATAGTGTGTGTGTGTGTGTGTGTGTAGTAGGCTCCAGTGTTGGGTTTCTCTCACTGTTGCGTTGGTCGGTGAATGGAGAATGGTGAGCTTGTTGCTGCTACACGTATATGTCCTGTTCTGTCATTCAGTGAGCTGGTCTGCACTGGATTGAGGACACTACCCTAGCTGAGAGGCATGCACAATAATGCAGACTGACCAAATTTGGAACCCTTTGGAATGATGGAGAACAAATGTGGAAAGAATTTAGCAGCCTTTCTTCCCTTAGGGGTATATATTTTTCATCCAGAACATCTTCTATAATACCATCATATATTGATTGTACTGGAAAAAGATACAAAATAGTGCAATGCAGTATAAAAACAATGAATTTAATAGCACAAATTGCACTATAAAAGAAAATATAAAAATGGGCACATTACCACTCCCCATGGTACAAAATCCTCTGGTGGATATATATAGATTCATCCAATGAATAGGGAATGTAAAGATGATACGAAGCCATAAAAACAAAATAAAAGCCAAAATAAAAAGGTAGTACCACAGTTCCAACGTGCTTTATCTGATGACAAAACATCCTCATAAGTATAGCAGTCTCAGATGGATTTCTCCTCTAAATAGCATCCTTCACCTAGACCCCCCTCCATCATTCACGGTCTTTTTTAGTTTTGATTGATCTCTGAATAACCTCTTTGCGGAATGTGCTCCACTCTGGAACATATAACACTTTCTGGAATGGCCCTCCTTCAACGGAGGACATCCTAGTATCCATTCATATCGGGCAGAATTAATATTGGAAAAGGTGTGTGCTCCAAAGTGGAATGCACATCCATTGCTAACAATATTCTAAGCTGCCAAGTAAAAACAAGGTCTGCCTATATAAGAGAAGGGTGTTCTGGCTAAGAACACACATACCCACATAAATGGTAAATGAAACCACAAGGAACCATATACAAAAAACATATCTTAAAGAGACAACATGGAATTAATCCAAGGTCTATTTATCAAACTACACAATATGAAATAATTATTATGATATTAAATCTAATAGAAATGAAATATTTTTTTTAAAAAAATAGGAGATAATAAAAAGTAAAAATGTACTAAATATAATAAAACATGCAAAAACACATATAAAAATATATATCTACATGAAAATAAAAAAATGTGCAAAAAAAATTTAAAACATGGAAAATAAACTTAAACTATAAAAAATATTTTCAGTTATTTAATTCAAAATATACCAAATCATCTGCAAGTGATTATGAAACACTTTCCCAATTGGTAATTTTAGCATTTTCAGTTTAAACTTCATTAAATAATGTTCAAAACCACAGCATTGTGCAGGCATAATATAACTGTTTTTTACATAGATTTGGAGAGAAAAAAAAGAAAAAAAAAGAGAGAAATAAGAAAAAACAGTGGAAAGTCATCAGCGCAGAAGAAAGAGTAAGAGTAGATAGCGGAGGTATTTGACAATTGTATTTAATTGTCAAAGCCATAATCTGTATAGGCACTGCCACTCTTGTGTACCATTTAAATCAAAGAAAATTTAATTTTTAGGTACAACACTTATCCGCACTTCTCCTTGCTACTGACACCTACGGTGGACAGGTTAAACAAAAAAAAAACTACAGTGAAACCACCTAGATCAACATATGATCCATATCTTATCTAAGGGAGTGTTAGAATAGTGAAAGACCTAGGGGTAATATACATAATTTT